CAGTTTTTTGCGGCTTATAATCGGATATTATCTGTTGAAGCTGCTTCCTGTGATCCTGATTACTCACATGTGTGAGATCTATATCGCCCACTTGCGAATTAATGTTAATTCTATTGACAAAAAGCGATTCGTCAGGCTTCTTCACAAATTTGGTAATACTTATTATTTTACCGCCTCTTATTCGTGCGTCGACATTACTCAAAAAATCTGAACCAATAAGAACGTCATCGTTTAAGAGTGCATCAGAGACCACATGGAAATCAACTTCAAAGTGTTCACCGTCATTACCTACTCCCATACGAACTTGTTCCAAGGTAACGTTTTCCGTAGCGCAGATACCACAAAATTTAATTGTTTGCTTAACTAAATTTGGAGCTCCTATTTTTACATGAAATGCCGCACGCATTAGACTTATATCGCTATCTGAATCAAACAAAGCAGTTACGTCATTATTATTAATTTCAACAGTTTATGAATCAAACAAAGCAGTTACGTCATTATTATTAATTTCAACAAAGTTTATAAATTCTCTTAGATCTATCGTATATTACCTTCGGATTGCTTTCTACCTTATCTTGAATCGCATTACATTTCTTACTCTTTTCTGTCTTTTTGGGTTGCGGGCAATTCGCTGCGATATGCCCATGTTCGTTACACTGGAAACATAATACGCCCTTCTCCTTCGACGGACACGTAGCACTAACGTGGTTTTTGCCACCACAATTATAGCAATGCCTAATTTCTGTCTTCTCGCCTGTCTTGTCCTGCGCCTGCTTTTTCTTGATATCGTCGGCCCTAATCTTAGCATTACCTACATACTTATTCATGCTTTTATTAACTCATACATATCCAATTTTGTTTTCAATTGTGAAATAGTTTTAGCGCTATATAAAATTGTTTTGTTTACCTCGTCATCGATAATACCATCTATTATGTATTGAATAATTGCGGAAGTTTCCATGTTTATCGGCGACGCTATTTCCAACATTTTATAACAGTACTGGTGGTAAGTTTCGTCCTGTTTCTTCTTTGTAACTTCATGTGAACCACGTGACTATCCAACCTGGGGGCGAATTCGGATTTCAACGCAGCCTTGATGTCCTTCCACGGCTTCCCATGCACTTCATGGTTTACAAAGAGGCGCGCAGATTCGACCAATAATCGCCTCGCATCTGATGTACCATCGACCATCCGCATAATTTCACTAAGTCCTCAAATTCTCTTATCCACTGATTAATGTTTTTTCCGTCATCGTCGCTAAATTTATCGATAGCGTCTTCTATACGTCTTTAAAAGTTAGTACGTACTTTCTGCGTTCCGCCGGCCTTGTATCTTCGTCTTCGTCGTCATCTCTTGCGTCGTATTCCATCACCGTTTCGTTTAAATCGTCGTCACTTTTATCGCCCGATCCGCTGTCCTCAGCGCCGTCGTCATGATCGTCTCCATCGTTTCGTTTAAGTCGCTCAATTAACTCTGACTTAACACCTGTCATATTTAGCTTACGTCTTTTCAATTCGTCTTTCAGTTGTGTTATCGTCATATCCTCGTATCGCTTGCTGTTCATGGCCGTCGACACCGTTTGATCCTTTGCTCGACATCTTCGCTTTTTTTAATAGACTTTTTTTCTTTTATCCCGGACGAGCCCCCAATTGTAGTAAAAACGATGTTTATGGTTATAAGAATATACAGTGATGGGAAAAAGTTCCGTAACGGTCAAATATCTTGGGAAATAATGATTATGGAAGAAAATGTTCAAAAGTTTTAGTATATCATGTGATCTATTATATAGTTATATTGAAATGACCTTCATGTGACCTTGAAGGACACCGTAAAGATCAACTTTGAAATCTTAAATGGAAACTCCTATTTTCTATTACATATTCTTAAAGCTGGTGTCAAGACGTTTCCGAAACACTGGTTACAAACCCTTTTTGCTTGATATCTTCCTGAGTTACGAACCTTCAAAATTTAAGTATCGCCGGCGCGTTATCTAAGGTGTACCGCGTGGAGGAGGCACGGTCGGATATCCTCTTCGAGATGCTTGATCAAAGTGATTTTAGGTCTCCCAGACCTGTTTTCATCTGCAACTGAACTCGTTCTTTCGAATCGCGAAACTGTTCGATAGACAGTAACTTTAGAAATTGGATCGCGGTTAGGATATGTGTCATTAAACAGATTTGTGACGTCTTGGTGAGACCTCATTTTATCACCATACCCCCGCATCA